GAATGACCACGTGCAGTCCATTCCCTTGCTTGACCTCAGTTCCTCATTTGTAGGAAAGATTATGCCTATCTCTCAGGGTGATTCTGAGAACTGCACAATAACATATGGGAAAGTGCTTTATAGGCAGTAAAGTCTTGCCTTAAATGAATTATGAGTTTCACGATGGATCTTTAAGTGGCAGGGTTATTATCCATGCCAGTAGCTCTTATCAGAAGTTGCTGCTTAATAAATGTTGAGCAATGCAGAAATGCTTGCAGGCCACCTCTGTGGCTTAGGAGAATCTGCTTTTGCTATGAAGACTTTTCCAAACTCCTAACCTTGGCTTATGCTTTGACGATAGGCCTTGAAAAGTATCCCCTACCACTGAATGAAGGGAGATGGGACTAAAGTGTGTGTGGTTGGAAAGGCAGTCGACCAGATGTTTGGAGGTCAGAGGGGAAGGAGGGGATGTGTACAAGGAAGTCCTGTAAGGGGGAACATTTTTGTTTGTTTTGTTCACCGCCCTTATCCCCTACCACTGAATGAAGGGAGATGGGACTAAAGTGTGTGTGGTTGGAAAGGCAGTCGACCAGATGTTTGGAGGTCAGAGGGGAGGGGATGTGTACAAGGAAGTCTTGTAAGGGGGAACATTTTTGTTTGTTTTGTTCACCGCCCTCTCCCTGGTGCTTTGCCTCATGCCTGGTACCCAGAATGTATGAACAGAACAGTACTTGAGTGAAGTCTGTGGAACAGTTCTGTATTTGCTCCATTAAGGACCACACCCTTATTCCATTCAGTGTAAATAGCAAATAAAATTGCCCATATAGACATTTTGGAACCTTTTATTAGCCTTTCCTGATACGAGATCATTTATCAGGTCTTTTTTTTTTTTTTTTTTTTTTTTCTTGAGCATGCAGCCTATGTCGCCAGGAAGTATGCTGGATCCCCAAAGACCCAACTATGCTAGGAGTTTATAGTAGAACACTATAGAAGGTACCTTTGGGATGGGATTGGCCCTTGGGTTGAACCTTGACGATAGGTAGACTTCTATCAGCTATGGCCAATATGTTGCAGTTGCAATTTAAAACCTTGCAAGGGGTATGCATCAGCGCAGACATTAAGTCTTCCAACAGGCTGGTACTAGAATTTAGCCCCTCAGTAGCTCTCCTGGGCTGGTGGGATCTTGTGTAGCTGTGGGGCCTTGCATAGAGGCAGAGATTGAGGGACTAAGAACTACTGAGGATTCTGCTTCCTTCCTGGTGGGTAAGTTGAGGCAGGAAGGTGGTGACAAGATGCCACCTTTTGAGTATGACTCTAGGATCACACTCTTTTTCTTTTTTAACTTTTTAAAAAAGTAATTACTTAATTCTATCCATTTATTTATTTAATTTGACTAGAGGGGAAGGGGGAGAGAGAGGGAGAGAGAGAGAGAGAAAGCTGACAGGTCTGGGACTCGAACCATGGTCAACCATGTGGGAGTCCAGTGCTCTTAACTACCATGCCACCTGCTGGGCCCTAGGATTATACTCTTAAAGTTTGTAGTAGTAGAATGAGCACACAGGCTCCTGCTACAAGTCTTATTTAGTGTGTCTGGCAGTACTCTATAATGAAAATAGCCTGCCAGAAATGGGAAACACACCTTAAGCTAAAATTTAAATGAGACATTGGAAATCATGGGGTGTCCTGGGGATTAACTGTTAGGAACAGTGTAGATAGATGGAGTATTAGGTGTGGGTACATGAGTAAGTGGGTGTGCCGGGTATATTTTAGGAAAACGCAGGATAAGAAAATGATAATTTTCAAGGTAACTTCATTATGATGTAATAGTTAGCTCCCTTGTGAGGATTCTCTTAAAGGTAATTTTTCAGCAAATACTGAGTGCTACCTATGTGCAAGGATCCATGGTAAACGTGGGGGGACATGGAGCTGCATCAGCAGAGTCTTTTTCTCTGAGCACTCCCAGCTTGGAGAGGGAGAAGTGTCTGGTGTGCAGTGAGGGCTTTTTCGATGAGTGATGTAATAAAAATGTGAACCAAAGTGCCGAGGAGAGTGGATGGATTCAGACTTGGGGGTCCACAAATTTTGCTTGAGAAAATGTCAAAGATGTCACACACAAAAGGTGGGAGAATGGTCTCTAGGCAGAGACAAAGCCGAAAGCAGAGCATTCAATGTATGGTCCTACCATATGGCACTACCTGGAAGGGTGGCTGTAGGGGAAGAGAGGCAGAGTGTTCTAGAACTTGGTTCTGTAGGACACAGCCACCATGGATGGTTTTGAGAGGGAAAATAACATCGGTAGGACTTCGTGTTAGAAGCTTCTGGTGATGGTGAAGAGAAGGTGTGGAGGAGAGGTCATGTCTGAGAGACCTGTCACAAGAGTCTGGGGAAGAGCTGTTGAAGGCCTCTCAACATTTAGGTCAAATTGAGTTATTAAAGAAGATAGATGTTGGGGCAGCTTGGTGGCAGGTGGTTCAGGAGGCTGAATCCCACATGGCTGACTGAGTCCTGGGCTCTGATGCTTGAAAAACATTGAGTACATGTTTGTGTATACACAAATCCTAAGAGGAGAAAGGAAGAGAAGGGATTGTGACATGGTCATTCCTCCATGGGGGGAGGGGTACTTTCTCACTTTCTCTGTCTCTCTCTCCAGCAAGCATGTGTGCCTTATGGCAAAAAAAAAAGGGGGGGGGCACAGGGATAAATCTTTGTTGACCCCTGTCTGTTGGTATCATTGGTCTGGGTTGAGGTCTCTCTGTTTAAAGAATAGAAACACAAAGAAAAATTGGGAGTGATGGGAAGGGAAGGGAAAAGAGCAGTGGGGTGAGAAGGAAGACCTGCTCTTTCGGGTATTGTTTTCATTATAAACCAGCCAGCCCTGGAAGTCTTCCCTGTCTTCCCATCTCTTTCTCCTCCTCTGTTGGTTCCATTTCTTCCATAGGTACTTGGTATGATTTTCAAGCCACTGGGTCCAGGACTGGAATCAAGGTCAGCCATGTGAGAATCCAATGCATTGATCATAGACAGACACTTCCTGAAGGTTTTGCACTCTTTTTTGTTTTCTTCATTCTATCAAAACCGTTCTGGCCTTAGCGATTTCTGCTCTTTACTTGGGAAATAATCTCTTGGCCTGTTTGTTCCCATCGAGGGGGTTCAGTTTCAGTAACCTGTATCCTCAGAATTTAGGGCTCAGAAATTAGTGAGAGAAAAATTTTGGAGACAGTATAGAAAATGTTTTGCCTGAGACCAGCAGGTGGTTAAGGTGCTTGATTCTCACATGGCCAACCATGGTTCAAATTCTGCACCTGGAGGCTTGCTTTCTCACTTTCCTTCTCTTTCTGCCTCTCTCTGGTGAGCACACATGCTCTATACCAAATTTAAAAATAATAATAACAGTAAATAAAATTAAATTAAATTTAAAAAATGCTTTGACTCAGCCCTGAAATGAAGAAAGTGCTCAGTGAATAAGATGGTAGTCCACATTTCTTTGCTTGTGGTTGTCTACTTTACTTTATATTGATGGACGTTTAATCTCCCTCTTTTGACTTACTTGAGGGTTTAATATTATGTTAGATCTTAAGTGTTCAGCGTTGTACTTCTTCCAGTAAGAGTTCAAAATGTGGCCTTACTTCCTTTTGTCTGCCAAAGTGATGTGGTGACCTCCTCACCAATAGAGCATGGGATTGGCACGGCTTTCCTAGGAATGAATGGGTAACCTTCCCATCCCTCTCTTCTGTTTGTGACAAGAGGTCCCATTTATGAAAATGGCTGACCAGAGCTGACTAGTTGAAAACAAAACAAATTCCTGCCCTGCGTAACCACACACATACATTCTCTTCATTAGATGTGCGATCTAATAAACCAAAAACCAAATTAGTTTTATGGCTGTCTAAAGTTCTGGAGTGAAGAGAGAAAGGGAGACCTTTTTTTTTTATGAGAAAGGAAGGTGGTCATTATAAATAGACAGCGAAGAGTTAGTTGATATGACGGTTGCAGCGGCTGGCTGGATGCTGCGGAGGTTGTGGGTGGAGGAAGTACAGTCAGGAAATGAAGTGGTGCTCTCTACAGAAACCAAGGCTGGCGTGTCGAAGTTTGTAAACTAGCCCTTGTATTGGGATACACAGCATGGACTTGCAAGTCCTACTTGCTTGCTGTTTCTGTTGCCTTTTTCTTGGATACCCATTGACCAGAAATGTTAGCCTTGTAAAGACCAAGAAATTAGTGAGAGAAAAATTTTAGCAGTTTTTGGCTTCCCTGAAGTAGGATTGATCGATCTTTTGGGTTGGATGAGAGGCCTTCATTCTGTGACGGAATGGGAAAAGACAGGTGCTTGTAGATTCCTTGTTCAGTCCTAGAATTTCCGGGACGCTGCAGTGGGGAAGGAAGGATTGCTGCCAAGCTTAGTCACTGGGCCAGTTTTACAATCGTGTTGTGCTAGCAGACCTTGCTCTAGTAGACTTGAGTCTGTCCAGTCCTATGGTGACATGTTCATGAAATCTGATTGCAGTTCTCTTTTTTTTTTTGGAGAGGTTTTTTTTTTGCCATAGGGTGCGTGTGCTCGCCAGAAGGAGAGACACAGAAAGTAAGAAATCACCCCCATTGGGAATGACCACGCCACAATCCCTTCTCCTCCATTCACCTGTTGGGATCTTGGACTCGCACGCACATGCGCCCAGCGTGAGTTTAAGCCACCAGGTCTGGGACTCAAACCGCGGTCGACTACATGGCAGTTCAGCAACATAGCCATTATGCTAACTGTTAGTCCTTGATTGCAGTTCTCTTATTATTTAGCATTTTCAACCTATAGTTCAATATTGCTTTTTTTTGGGGGGGGGTTAGAAATAATATAATATTGCAAAATCAAAAGGCAAATATCTTTCTGTGCTGGGTAGTTCAGCACCCATCTTTAAATGTTCAATATTGACCTGCATGAGTTTTTTGAGTTTTTCCTAGTTGATTGTCTCACGTGTTTATTTGATAAAGATTCTCCTTGTAAGTAATGTGTGGCTTTTCTCTGTTTCTAGCTATTGTCGACGATGAAAGGCTCTCTGCAGAGGAGATGGATGAGAGGAGGAGGCAGAACATTGCTTATGAGTATTTGTGCCATCTAGAGGAAGCCAAAAGGTAAGAGCCAGGCTTGGGCCATTTGTGCACATTCTCCTGGAGATGAGCTATGGGGTGAGGGCGTGAGATCTGATGAACAGAATGCGCCTAGAATGGGCCAGCGGTTCTAAAGAGTTATCAGACTGTGGATGGCCAGGGAGAGACTCTTGCCTGCAGTCAGTGATTTAGATTTAGCCAGACACGCCGTGCCAGCAGAGCAGTTCCTAGGAGTGACCCCTCCACGTTCTGCTCCCATCCTTATCATAGCTGGGTACATACCGTTCCGCTCTCATCCATGAACATACTACTATGTTCTTTTTTTTTTTTTTTAAAGAGATTTTTATTATAGGGCACGTGTACTTGTCAGAGAGAGAGAAAAAAGTGAGAAATCACCCCCAGGGCAATGGCCACACCTCAATCCCTTCTCCATTTTCCTTTCAGCATTTTGGATATGCTCGCACACACACCTGGTGTAAGTTTTCAGCTTCCAGGTCTGGGACTTGAACCAAGGTTTGCCACATGGATGTCCAGCACCTTAACCACTATGCCACCTACTGGCCCATACTACTATACTCTTAATAACTCGTTTGTAGTCTAGTTGCTAGCAGGCTGTTGGGAGAAGAACCTGTGTTTTATAAATGTACTGGCAGAATTGAGAAGTTGCTGATGAGCAGAATGCACCTAAAATGGGCCAGTGGTTCTAGAGAGTTTAACATGTAGTGAACTGCCAAAGCCAAGATCAAAGCACTTGGGAGGCCACTGTTCCTTGCCCTTCCCTAGAGCCTCCCAGGAAATCACTAGGCAAACTGCGGATTATTTCAAATTCCTCTTCTCATTGGCTCGGATGTGGTGGAGCAGCAATGACTTAATTCAACTTCCTTTTCACACAAAGCTACCTCAGATCTTCTACTCTCCTACCCCAGTGATGATAAATGCCCCGTAGTTCAACAGTACATCAAACTGTAGTCCATCGGTCGCTAACCTGGGTAGGTTTATGACAGCAATCTCCTTTTTAAACCATGGGTGTGTGACCACTTCGGATATGCTGTCTCTAAAATTGTATTGGTTCTTTTAGGCATTTTAGATTAAGTAAATGTTGGATTTTCCGAGATGAAAGTGAAGATAAAGAGTCCCAAGTGCAAATACTTTCTTTATGAGTAGAATCAAGAGAACTTTGTCCCTGGAGAGGTAGCTGCTACAATGTCCATATCCATGAGTTGGAGTTTGGTTTAATATTTTGTGCCATGTTAGGGCAATAGTATTGTTCCATGGATACTTGCTATGTTATAGCCCGCTGATCTACATAGCAAATTAGCAGTTAGTTAAATGGGCGTTGATTTCAAGGATCTTGGATTACTGATAAATAGCTTTCCATAGTGGCAGAATGATGAGATGTTCGATCAGTATTTTGTAGAACACTCAGTGACACATGCCCTAAGTAGGCATCAAAACTGCTCAAAGGGGAGTGTCTTGGGGTTGTTCAGTATTTTAACAGTGCCATGTAACTTTCTTTAAGATCTGAAGACCAAGTTTTTTGTTTTTTGGTTTTTTTTGGGGGGGGGAGAGGTTTTTGCTATAGAGCACATGTGCTCGCCAGACAGACAGAGAAAGACATAGAGACAGAAAGAGAGAAATCACCCCCTAGGGGGGATGGCCACGCCGCAATCCCTTCTCCTCCATTCTCCTCTCGGGATCTTGGGCACACACGCTCACGCGCCCGGCGTGAGTTTTAAGCCACCGGGTCCGGGACGCGAACCGTGGTCGACTACGTGGGAGTCCAGCGACATAGCCATTACGCTAACTGCTGGTTCCCCTGAAGACCAAGTTTTAAAGGTAGTTTAACATGTCTGTGAACTTATCATTTAGGTTATAGGATACTAAAGACTCAAAATTTAAGATTATGAAAAACATGCTTTTAATCAAGTTGTTGTTAAAATGTTTAGATCTGGAGAGTGATTTAGAGATATCTAAAAGAAATGTGCGTTCCATGCGAACGTTTAAGGGGAGTTAGTGGAAACTTCTTTTCTCACTGACACGCACTGTGCAGTCTAAGTTTTTGCCTCCTGTGTTTTGTATGTGGGAAGGGTTGTCATATATAGGAAGAAGTTGTGTGTCTGAGAGTTGGTCAGCCTGTTCAGCTCTGCCGTGCTTGAGCTTTGTGACCATGGGCAAGTGACCTGTGGGCAAGTTCGGTGTTGTCTTTTCTGTTAATGGGGTAATGAAAATGGTACCACCACCTGCCTACTTCACGTTGGTTTATTTTTTCTAAAGAGCAAATAAAGAAGGGGAAACTGTAGTGCCAGTAAGGTGTATGGTGATAACACATGCAGAGTTTTCTCTGTAGTGTCCCAAAGCGGTAAAAACGTAGCTTGAATAATTGTTCTCTTCTCCAGTACTTTTGAATTCTGTACTTGAATTTTGTGTAGGACATCCCCCTAATGACTACCTCAGCTTCTTTGAATAAATTCCATTAGAAATAGCTTCAGTGAAAAAATAGATTATATTGGGACCAGCAGATAGTGTAATGGTTATATCGATGGATTCCCATGTAGTCCACTGTGGTTTGAGTCCCAGACCCGGTGGCTTAAAACTCATGCTAGGTTCCTGTGTGTGTGTGTGCCCAAGATCCTGAGAGGAGAATGGGAGAGAAGGGATTGTGGCTTGGCCATCCCTCCTGGGGAGTGATTTCTTGCTTTCTGAATCTGTCTCTCCAGCGAGTGCATGTGCCATATAGCAAAAATCTCTCTCTCAAAAAAAAACAAAAAAACAAAAAAACAAAAAAAACACAAAAAACAAAAAAGAGAACACAAACCTCCCCCCAAAAAAAACCAGACTATAAAAATATAGGATTTTTTCAAAGATAGCTTTTTATAAATTTACATTATAAGAGGATATTAGAAGTAATACATATTTATGAATCTTTGAAGGATTTATGGTTTGTGATTATGGAAGATGTGAAAATTACGTGACTACTAGTAGATAGATAGGTGCACTATGATTTAAGAAAGCCTGATGGACAGACTCTCATGGCCCTCAGATTATTACTTTGATTATTTCAAAGGGTTTATGGCATGATCCCCCTCTTTTATTTTTTCTACCTAATTTGCTAGAAGGCATGTGTGCCCTTTCTTTCTGGAAGTGAGATTGGAAGATATCTTGTTTGTATATTCTGTAATTCAGGATTTTTATAAACTCAGGATTGTAATATTCTAGTGTATCTTAATTTTGCCTTTATAAATTTCAGGATTCTCTGTTACTCTAAGGCCATTTAAAAGTTCCTTTATTTAAAGAGGACATCATCTTATCAATATTACAGAAATGAAAAAGATTATTAGGGAATAGTATAAACTCTTATATGCCACCAAATTAGATAACCTCAATGAAGTGGGAAGATTCCTAGAGAGATACAAACTACTAAAACAGACTCAAGAAGAGAGAAAAAAAATATGAATAGATACATGACAAGCGAATAGATTGAGATAGTAATCAATAAACTTCTTACAAGCCCAAATGGCTTCACAGTAGAATCTACCAAATGTTTAGGAATAGTTTCATTAGAGCATTAATACCAATCCTTCACAAATTCAAAAAATAGGAGAGAGTATGTTCGAGTATGTTCTGTTGAGGCCGATATTACCCTAATATCAAGACTAGTCAAAGATAAAACTGAAGACCAATATCTATTTTGAATACAAATACAAAAATCAACAAAATACTAGCAAATTGAATCCATTATTATATAAAAAGGATTGTATATTACTAAATGGGATTCATTCCAGGAATGCAAACTTATCTTAAAACCCCCAAATCAATAAGTATAATCTTAAAACCCCCAAATCAATCAGTATAATGAAACAGTGCTAGAACTAAGAATGAATGGAACCAGCAGAGGGCGCAATGGCTGAATTACTGGCCTCCCATGTAGTTGACCACTGTTAGAGTCCCAGACGCGGTGGCTTAAATTCACATCAGGTGCATGTGCGTGCGTGCCCAGGATCCCCAGAGGAGAGTGGAGGAGAAGGGATTGTGGCGTGGCCATTCCCCCTGGGGGGTGATTTCTCACTTTCTTTCTCTCTGTCTCTTTCTGGCCAGCGCATGCGCCCTATAGCATCATTATTTCCGTAAATGTATGGGGAGCATTTGATAAAAATCCAACCCCTTTTCTAAATATATGAGTAAAAGCATTCAACAAAGTAGCAATAGAAAAAAAATGTCAACTTGATAAAGGGCATCTATGAAAAACCCTCAACTAACATTATATAATATTTAATGGTGAAAGACTGAACTCTTTGAGACCAGGAATAAGATTAAGATCTTTTCTAATCACTTCTATTCAACATTGTACCGGAGATTCTAGCCAGGGCAATTAGGCAAGAAAAAGAAATAAAACACATCCAGATTAGGAAGGAAAAATGAAACAATTTCTAAGTGACATCAACTGGTCTACAGAAAATCCACAGGAATCTACTAAAAAAAATTAAAACTATTAATGAATTCATCATTTGTTGTAAGATACCACAGGAATGTGTAAAGTAGTGTTTCTATACTTTAGCAATGAGCAATCTGAAAATTAAATTCAGAAAACAATTCTATTTACATCACAACATCATAAAGAATAAAACGTTAGGAGTAAATTTAACAAGTGCAAGACTTGAACACTGAAAGCTATAAAACTGAAAATTTTAAAACATCTAAGAAAATGGAAAGACATCCTCTGTTCATGGGTTGGAAGATGATACTAACAAAACAGTGTTCTTCAGATTGATTTACAGATTAAATGGACTCCTTGGCAAAATCTCAGCTGCCTTTTTTTAAAAATGCAGAAATTGACAAACAGATTCTAAAACTTAAATGGAAAAATGCAAGGCGTTCAAAATGGACAGCTTTGAAAAAGAACAAAGCGGAGGAACTCATTTTCCAATTTCAAAACTTACTTACAAAGCTGCAGTAATCAACACAGTGTGACACTCGCACCAAGGATGCACATGTAAGAAAGGTCTTCAAAAAGGTCATGGAAAATG